GCCCCCCCCCCCGGGCCCCTCGTGGCCCCCGACCCACTGCTCACTTTGGGCCTGGGGCCTTGGCTCCTGCTGGGCAGTAAACAGACCCTGTCCCTGTGGTAGCCTTGACCTGCCCAACGACAGGTCACATCGGGGGTGACAATTTCCCCCAGGGAGACCACTCGGCCTGATGCCCCAAGAGAAACTCACCCGGAGAAGATGATGCTCTTTTCAGACACCCGGGCAAAAGGCTTTCTTGGGGCACAAGCATGTCGGGGCAGCTCAGAACTCTGCCTGGGGAAAAAGCACCCCCTTCCTACGGCAGGAGGAGAGGACGCTCTTGTGTACCCTAAAAGCGCCTCTGGCTGGAGTCGCTTCAAGAGGGTCTCGGCCACCCTGGCCCCCACCCAGAGCGAGATGCCGGTCTGGAGGCCACCAGCACTCAAGGAGGGGAGGGGACCGGGCGCCTCCAGAGGCTCTGTCCCTTGCAGGAGACCACGGGTCCACAATCGACGGTTTCTTCCCACAGGCAGACACACGGGAGGATGGAGTATTTTTTCAAGGCACAGACTATTTTTAAAAGATTAAAATGTTGTGGGTGTCTTTCTCAACTTGCTGTCAACCTCGCAGCGTTTAGGGCCGAAAAGCTACTCCCCGCTAAGGGAAAAACATGCTGCTGCTGCTGTCGGGAGATCAGGTCGGCCGCTGTGAGGGCGGACGAGTGACAGGCTCGTCTGCGCTGGCAGCTTAGCGTGAGAGGCGAAGTGCACGACACTTCGCGCCGGGCGCTCGGGAGGACGGCACCGTCAGAGGGGTCGGGGTCCAGCCCCCGGAGCACACGGAGAGGCAGCCCGGAGGGAGCTCCAGGCCCGAACGTCTCCTGTCAAGGAGCAGCCCCGGGGCCCGAGCAGGTGACCTCCCACAGCCTCCGGGGCCCCTGTAGATCCAGGCTCGAGTCCGGCCTCGAGGGGCTCGGGGCCAGAGAGGCCGGGGTGCAGCTGGGGGGCCGGGGGCGGGGGGGAGGACACCTCCCTGCAGGACGAGGCGAACCGCTGACTCTTCCCACCCCACGTGGGCCGGGCGTCTCCGGAAGGATGGCTCCACGGCGGCCACGAGGCCTCAGGCGGGCCATGTGAGACGAGGAGGAAGACGAGGACAGCCCGGGACAGGAGCTCCTCCAGGAGCCGGCCCGCCTCGGTGCCCCCAGCTACTGGCTAGGGAACCCAACGGGACGCCCGACGCCGAGCCGCTGGCGGCCCAGGCCGCCCCCTCGCGCGTCGGCGCCGTCGCCGAGAACCTTCACCCGGTGCGGCCGAGGAGTCCGTCGGCAGCCCTGGCCCAGACGGGACCGTCGGCACCTCTGCCGCTCAGAGCAGTGAGTCTCCAGTCACGAGGACGCGGAACTGGGCGGAAGCGTGGGAACTCCCGTGGCTGTTGGCGCTCTCGACATGAATGAGCACCGAGAAGCTTCCTTCTCCGGCCAGCTGGGACTGCCGTACAGCCTTGCTGTGGAAGTGACCACTGGAAGCCGTCCACGCGTCCGGTGTTGGCACGCGTTTACGGACAGAGGGCCCCCGAGCGCCTGGGGACACGCGTGGGCGGGGAGGCCCCGGCCGCGACGGGGACGAGGGAACAGCTAAGACCCAAGACGGTGCCACACAAACACCGTTTTCTTAACATGAGAAATCACCAATACTGCCATGAAAGCCTCATTAATATCCGTAACAGTTAAGAACTTAACTTACCAGCATGTCACGTTAGGAAGCCTCTTCATCAAATTTATTTGTCAAGAAGTTAGATGAAAACGTAACAAAGGACACAAATTTCACTTCTGATTTTCATTAAACGTAAATAATCCTACAATTTTATACAATGCCACCTAACACAGCAGTCCTTAATAAACTTAGGTATACAGAAATAAGAAACGCAGGAAATTCTTCCTTTGCCCTTTGAGAGGCAGCAGCTGGAGTGTGACCGAGGTGCCAGGGGGACTGTCCCCTCCACGGGGTTGGGGGAGGGCGCATTTTCTTACGGCTCAGAACCTGGGCTCTGAACCCAAGTGCTTTTCAACGCAAGACCTGGACCCTGTTCTCCAGCCTGCCATCGGCGCTCGCGGGCCATCACCGGGCTCACGGCGCTGAGCCCCCTGACGACCCGAACACATGACCGTCCCAAGCAGCCCAGTGCGACAGGCGTGCTGACGGGGGGCCTCGCCAATCGGCCCCTGGTGTGCCCCCGGGACGGCTGACGCTGCCAGGTCACTTATCAAGCCCACCACACACACGTGGAGGCTCCCTGCTGAGGGAGGACACCCCGACCGTGGGCGCAGCCCACACAACGGGACAGGGGCTCAGAGGCCAGGAGGGGCGGGGCAGTGCCGGGGCCTCGGACAGGCCGGCCTTGGCCGAGCCCTCGGGCGCAGAGCGGGACGCTTCGTTCCGCGCCTCTCTCCCGGAAGAGCCTGGGGAGCTCTGCTGCTAGGTCCTTCTCGGGTTCCCTCCCCGGCCCTCCCTGACCCTCAGGCTTTCCCCCCTCACCCTCTGAGCTTCCCCAACAAAGAACCGAACGTCTCCCTCCCAAGGAGAGAGGGGAGCCCCGTACGCGGTGCAGACGTCTGACCGAGCAGCTCCACCGAGTTCTGCACAAACTCAGTATCTGACGAGGGTCTTAAGGATTCAGTGGAGGAACCGGGGGTGCGGCTACCCGGCTACCCGCCAGCTGGGACTCGGGTCCCCCGGGACGTGTGCGCGGGCCCGCAGACAGGTGCAGCTTCGAGGCGCTTTGCTCCCGTGGCCCCTGAAGAGCTGACTCCCCCTTTCCCGCCAGAGGCGCGGACGCTCGGTTCCAGGCAATGGCGCGCAGAACATTTCAAAAACGCTAGAAGCTTCAGTCAGCACACGAGACAAAATTAGGATTCTTTACCACTATTTAAGTGAATGTAGAACCCAAAGTTACTGACTGTTTTTCCGGAGTCTGCCCACTGCCTCTTACACATCTGCTTTTAGAAGAAGGCGGCGTTTGCCAAAGGCTTCTCTCTCCAGCCCTCGAAGGGATTTTAACCCCCCGGCCCCTGAGTAAGGGAGGATCTCAGAGAAGGGCTGGGGTGGCCAGGGGGGCTCGGAAGCCACAGCACGGCAGGCTGGAGAGAGGCGAGCCGGGGCAGGGCAGGCAGAAAGGACCACGCACGATAGGAAAGCTGTGCTGGCCAAGCAGTAACGGCCTCCTCTTGCCAAAAGCCGTTCTATTCCAGAAGTTGGGTTAGAAAAGATACTCTTGCTCAGGATAATATTTAAGCGAAAACATCTGAAACAGTTTCAGTGAGGAAGCTCCAAGTTTGGTGCGGAAACTACAAAATCACCCCAGGGCCACCGTGGAAGCAGCTCGGCCCTGGGCCCTACACACCTGAGATCAGGACCCCGGGGGCCCCCCTCCCCGCACCCCACAGCTGCAGGAGTCATCATGGGAAGCCAGCCTAAGGGGGGCCCGCCCCTCCAAGCGCCCCCTCCGCCAGCCAGCGGCCAGCAGCTCTACTCCTGCTCCTCCGGATTGCAGGAAAGGGGGTGGGTGTCACAAGAGCGGGCCATGCGGCGCTCCCCAGCTCCTGACACCCAGCAAGTCCCCGGAGAGGGGACCCCAGAAACTGGAAGAACAAGATTGTGACCAAGCCCCAAATCCCAAACTGTGACAGGACCATGGTCTTTAACACTGGGTGGGGGGAGGGGGTTGGGGAGAGAAACACCACGGGCTCCTATTAGCACATGGCGAGGCCTGATTTTAAGGAAACCATACTCTCCTCCTCTTGCCTCTCCTGCCCCCGACTCCCACCGACAGACTCCGCCTGGGTCGCCCAGCAGTGCCCCCCGAGCCGTCCCTCCCTTACCGCAGCCCGTGCAGCTAAGGATGCCAGGGGGTGAAAGGGATCAGAGAGCGCCCGGTCCCCAGAAAGCGCACCCATCACGGCTTTGGAGCGATGCCCTCAGAACCAGGTCAGCATAAGCTTCCCCACGAAGGCTACTTACCTGGGACCAGCCACTCGTTACCTGGGCCAAATACAAGTCCTGAATTTTGAAACTGCATACTCAATGCCTCAGAAGCATTTGAAATGAAATCTCTAAAACGATGTAAAACCACACCTGGAGTGCTGGCTACGAATCTCTCCATCCGACAGCCTGATTTCGCTTCCAAAGTTGAAACCGTCCCCAAGGCCGGCTGACTTTGCTAACCTTAGGTCAGTTAACATTTAGGAACAGAGGACCGTATCTTACAAGCCAACGGGACACGAACATATACCCGGGGACACGACGCACAAACGGCAGGGGCGAGATGCCCCCGGCAGGCCAGCAGGCTTCTCGCGGGGCAGAGCACTGCCATCGGTAACAGAAACCCCTTGCATTCAAGGGGCAGGGTGGGTAGAGCGGATGGCCCCAGCGGGAGGCGCGGGGGGAGGCAAGCAGGCCCGGGAAGCGGGGGCCCTGGAAGCGGGCCCGGGGAAGGTGGGGACGGGCTGCGGGAGGAGCACACAGAGCCGCTGCTCCGGCACCAGAGCTGGGGGCGCTGCAGAGACAGGAAAGCCCCCCGGTGTCTGCTTCGCTGAATCACAGCCACTACTCAAACCGGTGTCACGAGCAGCATCTCTAGGCTTCATCACAAAGGTGTGCAACACAGAAAACAAACCGAAACGACCAAAATAAGTTAACAAACAAGATAACCGCCGTCTTGAACCTAAGACACGCAGCTCAAAGAACCGGGTCCTCCAGGTGAAACTGGAACTTGCAACTCCTCGCACAGGTGATCGGGACCACGGGCGTGAGAACCCGAGACTGCAGCGCCCGGGCAGAAGCAGCTCGGGGTCCCCCGGAGGGAAGCGCCCACGGCCGCTCCCACGGCTCCCGAGCAGCCACGAGGCCACCAGGGCCAGGGGTGAGGCCCTCTGGCAGGAAGCCACTGAGGACAGAGCCCAAGCGGAGCCACGACAGCCGTCCAGTAAGAAGAGAAGGGGGCAACCTGCACCTGCGCCCCCCCCCCCCGACTCTGGGCGGGGAAAACAAAACCCAGACCAGCGCCCCCTCTGGAAGCGCCTGGAATCTTCACAAAACGGGGCTGCGGAGTCTGTCCCGGGCCACGGTCGTGCCTTTTTGACCAAAAAACATCGTCAAACAACAACAACAACAAAACCCACACACACACGAGAAAACAAAAAACAAAACAAAAAAAACCACAAAAGAAACCAAAACCGCCTTTCCCTTGTTGGAAAAAAAAAAACATAAGCAAAACGCATCCAACGTGAAGGGTCTCGGCTTCTGTGGCAACAGGCACTTGTGACCACCGCTGCTGGCGCCCTCGGCCCACGGTCCCCGGGACAGCCAGGCTCGGAGGAGTGTGGGGTTTTGTTTAGTGCACAGATTCTCAATCAAAGTGCTACAAACTGCTTCTTTGAAAAAAGATGTTTATTAATAAACAATTTTAATTGTCATAAAATGACTAAAATGGGTTTTAAAAATTAAGGCTCTTCTCTTTCTGTGGATTGCCAGAACAATGTAAAAATAATATCAATCAACCCTGCTGAATGCTTTGTTCCTAAAGTTAAATTTCATAGATTCCTAAACATTTTATGATTAAGATAAAAACTGGCCTATAAATGACAATTAATGGCCGCCCATACTGAACACACACTCCGATCAGGTGTACAACATTCTAATTGAGTAGTTAAGCAAAAATATTCCAGTTAAAGCAGAAATTTTAATTTTAGCATTGAAAGTCATTGTTCCCCACACGGTCATGATTTTCCTAAAATCGAAGTCGTCTAATACAGGAACGCTAACCTTGGGACTCTATATATTCCCAGGAGGGTGACTGACTTGGCTGGCAATTAGTTTGATTATATTTTTTTAAACGTTCTAAGTTGAATTATCAAATGATTCAGAATTACATGGCATGCAGTATCCAAAATTATGGCTCTGATGCATTTAGATTTACATTAAGAGTACGAAGTGCCATTCACATTCATTGTACACCCCACCCTCCCGCAAGAAAAAAATCACTACCTATTCGAGTTCTAGATCTGGTGCAGCATTAAGGATTAAAACTTACCACTTTACCAGGCCTTCCCCATGTGCAAATAAATCCCTCCTGACAAGCAGTGACTAGACAGTCTTCAAGAAAAATTAACACAGTCAGTCTTTCGTGTGCTATCTTTTTACAGATGAGCGGCTCTAACAAGGGAACGTCTTCCATCCGAGGACACAGGGGCGTCCCCAGGGTTTTAGCGGGGTCCGTTTTGGTTTTAGTAACCAGGTTCAGTTTGTCGCTGCTCTTGCTGGAAATGTGTCCCATGCTATGGTTTCGCTTGTGGTCTTTCTCGTGGTGCCTGTCCTTCCGGTCGTGCAGGGAGAGTGTCGCGAATTTGCTGACCCCGGAAGCGATGGCCCCGTCGGCCACGCTGCTCTTGCTGCCGGCGCTGGAGACGGCGGAATGCGGGAGGCTGTTGGAGCGGGGCAGGGGCGGGGGCGCGGAGCTGCCGGGCGTCGTGACGCTGTTCCCAGTGCTGCCGGCGGGAGGGCTCGTGGCGTTCATGACATTTGTGTGTGTCCTTGCTCTCGAGAGCGGCTGGTGGGGGAAAAGGATGTCTTCCGTGAGGTCCCAGAGGCAGAGCTGTGTGTCCTGGCCCACGGAGCCGAACCGGTACGTGACGCTGACGGGGCGGCTCTCGGCCGAGTTCCGTTTCGACAGCCTGGACTGCGTGCTATTGGCTCGATCTCTGCCGAAATGGAGGAGGTCCTGGAAGTCCTCGTCGCTGCCACTAAACTCCATGGGGTCGCTCTCTTCCACGCTAGTGGTATAGGGGTCAAACGCCACAACACTGACCCAGGATTTGTGCCCGTGGCCTCTAGCTATCACTCGGCAGTCTACGAAAGACCAGACCGTCACCAGGTCGTCCTCGCCCCCCGTCACGATGTACTTGCCGTCCGGGCTCCAGCACACACACAGCAGGCCCCCGAAGTAGCTCTTCATCGTGCCGTGCAACTCCACCGAGTCGAAGTTGAACACCCGCAGGAACCCGTCCTGGCTCACACACGCCAAGAACTTGCCGTCTGGGGAGAAAGCAAACTCGTTGAGGGCCCCCTCGCCCACCGTCCACTTAAGGAGAGGGTTCCTCGTGGATTTGCTCTTGCAAGTGTGCACGGCAAAGCTCTCGCCCTGCTTCAGAAGCTGGTAGTGGGGGGCTGTGGTACCACAAGTGTGCTCCACATTATACAAGTACATGTTCCCACTGGCGTGGGCTACTAGGAAAAGGCTTTCCGAACCGGGAACCCATTTGACACAGGTTACGCGTGACTTGTCTATTAGTCTCTGTGAAGACAAAGGAGAACAAGTTATCACAATGGAGCAGCTTTAACGGTCAACTTTTCCAGCAAGAAACGTGTCTGCTTCTCGGTGAGAAGGGAAGTCCGTCCAGGCACTGCACTCTCTATCCCGCGGTCGGCCAAGCCAGCGAAGAGCATCTGGGCCCCTTGTAGAATTACTCTCTAGAATCGCGCTTGGGCGTTAGGCCACTGGCTTTCGCTGAGGGAGTCAGTCATTCCACACACACTGTCGAGAGCCTACTCTGAGCCACACACTGTACCAGGCGCTGGGACACACTGGTCACAGGGCCAGCCCCCGGGGCAACTTTCGTTTCTTAGGCTAGGAGCGTCTGAATCTGTGATTCCTGGCACCTACACACAGCATCCTCTCTACGAAGACCCCCGGGAAAATCTCGAGGTCCTCACAGCGGGGAGCGCTACGCCTCCTGGCCCCTCTGCGTCTTATGGCGGCGATGTAAGTCATGTGCTGACTACACCTGCCCCCCTGCTGTGGCCGCTCCAGGGTGGGCAGTCCCTGTGCAGCCGCTGGCAACAGCACACGGGACTTCAACGCACACTTCCTGGGCTCCACCTCAGCCCTGGCTTCACTGAAACTTCCTCACTCCCAGTCGCTGTCCTGTGTGCATCTTTATAAGTACTTCCTCCAAATCTTCTCTGGAACAGGGTGGTGTTTAAAAAAACAAACAGACGATTGATTCGGGAGTATGTGCCTGCCCACTGCCGCTCTGCTCCGTGCTAATTTCTGCTCCACTGACCAGCCGTTCCTTTAAAAGGCACACATCGGGAGTCCGGCCTTTAAAACCAGAGAACAAAAGGCCAAAGTAAAAACCACCCCAAGGCACAAGAAGCGCGCGCTGCCCGGCTGGCGGACCTGGCCGCGGGGCTCACGGTGCCCCTCTCCGGGGTGCCCGGTCCCCGATCACATCACCAGAAACCATCCACAAGTGCCTAAGACTCCCACGTTTGTAGACACTCCTCCTGCCAAACATTCCCGGCACCCGTCTCCCCGGGAGCCCAGCAGACCCCGGTGAGTGGAACGTACCGCTTCACCCAGCGGCCGGGACTCCCAGCCCGAGCCTCAGGGCCGACGCAAACCGCCCTCCCTCCCCCGCCACCTGCCTGGCGCGCACATCCTGCGCGCGCAGCCTCTTACAGAAAATCACAGAACGTGAAATAACCTGTTGTCTTCACAGAAGAGATGAATGAACCCTGCAAGCTCCTCCAGATGACTAGCCCACGCAAGGGGAGAGGAGGGAGGCCCGGCCCTGCACAGCACGCGGGGCCCGGGGGGTCGGGCAGGGGTCACCGAGCGGCAGGTGACGCTGCTTACTGCCCCGGTGTGGGAGCTGCAGGACGGCCCGGCCGGCCCCCTTCATTAACACAGACGCACAAGCTGGCCTTGGGGACACAGCCGATGTTCTCGTCCCTCTTTCCCTTCCTACCCGCCCCCAAAAGGCACCTGACCTACTCCGACACGGGCAACCTAAAAGCCCAGCGACCACTCTGGCAGGGTCTCCCTTAGGCCTTCACTGCTTCTCCACAAGAGGTTCCAGAGGTGACTTCGGGGCCTTCCCCACCCATCGGACCCTGCTGTACCCACCGGGCCCAGGCTGCCCCAGCAGGCCTCAGGCCGCCGTGGCCCTCGGCCCCTGGGGTGGCGGCCCGGTCAGGCGGCCGGGGGCTGCAACGCCAACTCGGGCTGGCGGGCGGGCGGGCGGGCGGCCAGGCCGCCGTCCTTCCCCCGACCCCACGGCTCTCGGTTCCTGCACCTCACGCGTCACCACAGCCAGATCGCGGTCCTGCCCGCACAACACCTCTGCCGCTCTCTCCTGTGTGGAAATTTTTAAGGACAGACTTAAAAACTTCCAGCACTGTGCTTAGGAGAACATTTCGTGTGCCGCTTAAAGAGACACAACAAAAATAATTCGTGAGAATTCCAACTCATAATACTGTCCAACAAACGTGAGGCGTGAAGGGAGATAGTTCCAGCGCTACGGTTACAGCAAAGGTTCCTGGGAGGACAGAACCCACTTAGAGCTTTCATTCCCGACTGAAAAGGGGCACGGAGATGAGTGCCAGCAGATCTGTGGGCGCACCTGACGGACAAACCGCGGAGCCTCCACTCTGCGCCCGCCGGGCGTCTGAGCACACACGGGTCTGCCCCAGCACCTGCGAGTCCGGCCCAGCAGCGCAGGCGACCGCGAACCGCGACAAGCCAAGGCCCCCGGCGCCAGCTCGAAGGCGGAAGGGGCGCTCCCTAGCAGGTCACGTGCTCAAGCGTGGGGAAAGCACGGGCCTCGAGGGGCGGTCCCCGGGTCTCCTCCAGGTCTGGGGCACGCCGGACAGCGGTGCCGACTTCCCACTGGAGGATCTCCTCTGCGTGCCGGGCACTGGTAAGGAAGGGGCTCTGCACACACGCTCTTTCACCTCAAAATTACCCTGCAAGCTCAGCTTTTGCTTTGTTTGAATAGGTGACACATTCGCAGTGCACACGAAAGTCTGCCGGAGAAAGCTTACTCACGTCCCCCTCCTCCATTCCAGAGCACCTGTCCCCAAGTCACTGTTACTAAGCTTCCTGCTTCTTTCTCCGGAGCGTCTGCGTCCACGGACAAGGCCGATGTGGATGTGCTCAGTACCGTGTCTGTCCATCTGTCTGTGCTGGTACAAAGACAGCTTCCGGGGAGCCTGGGTGGCCCGGTCGGTTAAGCGTCCAACTTCAGCTCCGGTCACGATCTCGCGGTTTGTGGGTTCGAGCCCCACGTCGGGCTCCGTGCTGACAGCTGGGAGCCTGGAGCCCGCTTCCGATTCCGTGCCTCCCTCTCTCTCTGCCCCTCCCCCACACATGCTCTGTCTCTCTCAAAAATAAACATTAAAAAAATTTAAAAAGGAAAAAGGACAGTGTCCTCGTTCCCTCCTACAGCTGCAGAGTATTCAATGATATGGCTGCACTGACAGACGTGCGTGTTGCAGTGGATGACCCCACATACATGGCAGTTTTCACGGGTATGCGCATACATGCAGGGTGAACCCCAGTAAAACAGCTGGGTCAAAAGGTATATACATCTATGATTTTCACAGATACTGCCAAATCGCCTTCCACGGAGGACAGAACCCTGTATTTTCATCAGCAATGTAAGAGCACCGTTTCCCCACAGAAAGGCGGATGTTCTCCCCGGACTGCCCACCAGGAGACAGAGGCGCACAGAGGTCAGGTAACCTCCCTGCCGTCCCATTCACTCGCCCACTCACCCGTTCATTCGCTCGCTCGTTCACTCACTCATTCATTCACCACCCTCTTCTTCTTCACTGAATGCATTCATGCCGGGCACGGACACAGCGCCGATTAAAACAGACGGACATTCCTTCCTGTGTGGCGTTTACGTCCGAGTGGGAGGGGAAGACCGTGAGACCCGCAAGATCTGATGGTGCCGAGTGCTGTGGAGAAAAACAGAGCAAGGAGAGGAGACACGGTGCCGATGGGGAGGAGGTCACAGCGACTTCCATTTCCGGCAGGAGCAGGAGGGCCTGGCGGGACTCTGTCCGGCGGTGGGGGCTGGCTGCAGGCTGCCAGGTGCAGTGGGAGACTGGGAGCAGGGACAGGCAGCGAACCCAGCCCCCGGCATCCGAGGGAAAGAAGGGAACCAGGGCAGGTTGGACAGACCGGGCAGGGTGGGGTGCCGTCTCCCGTGCCACCCACAGGCATCGACTAAGGCTAGGGCCAACGCCCGCCGGTGCCCAGAAACAGGACACGAACCCACCTGGGACGCACAGCTGGGGAGGGAGGCACACCCTAGGCCTAGCTAGCAGAGTCCCTGAATTTAAACAGCTCTGGTTATTATTTGGTTTGGGTTTAACAAAAAAGGAAGAGAAGAGAAAGCATTTTACTCCTTTTTTTCAAATTAAGAAACAAATACCTGGAACGTTTTATTCGATAAATACAAAGAACAAAGCCCGGTCGCTACACCGTAAAGGTGTATTTTCGCTCCTGAAAACGTCTAGTGAAAAAGGGAAAGAATTTTAGCGCTCCGTGCTAAGGAACGGGACTACCCTGTTGGATTCTCCAGGATCGATGGGGCCCTGATCTGGACACGCACAGGGAGGAAACCCCTCCGTAGAAGCCGGGCCCTTCTGAAGAGTTCCTGAGCACAGTTGGGGCAGGAAGGACCACATGGAGAGCGGCTCGGGACGGAGCAGTCCGGGTCAGTCTGGGGACATGAGTGGCACCTGTTTTGGCTGGAGCCCTGAGCTGCAGGGAATGAGGTCTGCAACTGGAACCAGTGCTCAGGATGGTGAAGTCTCAGGCTAAGGGGCTTTGGGCCATGACCTCAAAGCCCTGAGAGCTTGAAGTGTGTCTGAAGTGAGATGTGCTGTGTGTGCAAAATAGACACTGGGTTCTGAAAACTTGAAAAACTATGGAAACTATCTCATTCGTAATTTCATATTGCCTAATGTTGAAATAATATTTGGACTCTACAGAGAAAATAAAATCTGAATTTCACCTATTTTTTTTTTTTTTTTTTTTTTTTTTTTT